GAAATATTGTACATTACAACCTGTCCATCAAGTGAGGCTCGGCCACAGAACAGTCGGTGCAAAACAAACAGTTGTCGAAGCACCAGCGCAAACAATGACATGGTGCCCCAAAGCGGTTGAAACGCCGTTAAGCCCTTGGTATATAACGGGATATATACGAATGTGTGCTGAGCGCAGGTGCGCGGTATTGGCAGATCCCAGAATTATATGTGCCTCTATTGCTCGCAGTTCAAGATGTGCATACAGTTTCATGGTCCATACAGCTAATATCGACATCTGTGGTATCTTGTACATTGCAAATAACCCAATTTCTATCAATATTACATATGTGTCAGTATAGCTGGTCACACTGACCTAGTTCTGTTCCAGTTTTCAAGGAATGCCATCTTAAAACCTAAGATACCATCGGTTGTTCTCCAGAAACCGAATTCTTGCTAGAAACATTCCCAAGAGAACACATGTGCGACTCGTTTAATAAACAGATTCTGACAAGCATGTCGGTCAGGATGCTATCCTTTAAAGTTTTCACAACATCCGTCAAATGTTTTGAGGAACGAAGGTAAACAATCTTGGAATGGTTTCCGTTCTTCTGTGAAATGAGCTGCATTATACATCGCATAGGTTCCGGAGAAACGTGACTAAACTTCTTGCGTGTTGTCACAGGGTTAGCAAAAACTAATCCTTGAAACCGGAGAAGCGAGAAAGCGATTGCTAACGATTACCACCAGCTCATGTTCTAACCTATGTAGGTCAGGGAGACATACATTTTTAGATATAGTCTCCATATTAGCCTATTTTGACCACAGATGCAATCTACATGAAATTGACATGCGAGATGCTTTTGGTGTTCCATGCATTTAAACGCAATTTGTGCCATGGCTGTGGGATTGACATGCGAGGGACAGATGGTTTACACGCTGACATTAGATTGTGCTTCAACTATGACGAAAGAGGGAGTAATCGGTGTGTTTTTGAAACTTAACAACCTCAGCTCAGTCGCATGGCTTGTAAATAGCCACAAAGTTGTCCATTAGTGTGTTATTGATTTCGATCTCTGAAACAGCTCAATGTTATAAAACCGTATAAAGAGACAACTATTTATATCTCACAAACAAAACACTCAAGGGCTGGCGCACAAATGGTTCATAAATATAGTATTAGGGGAAACACTATAACGATATAATTTCGATTGAATCAGAGTACTTATTATTAATATCCACATGTCTGAGTTAAAGTTTTGATGTTTAAAAGATCATATATTCATATCAAATACTTCTGGACAACACTGTTCCCTGTTTACGCATGACACAGAACAGTTTAGAAAGTTGGGACAGGTCACTACGATATATTTCCAATCGTCGAATCAATAATAACACGCACGCTGTAGAAATTACTGTTATACACAATAATATAATCATAATATGACTTTCATGTGGTATATCCGAAGGTTACATGGGATATTCATATCAGAATGTAATTATCACTAACGACCGAAATTGGCACGAGTTGAATGTGGGAGAGCAGAGTTAAGCGTTCACGAGGGCAGCTGTGAGGAGTTAATTTGTTCTGTAGTTCAATCCTTCTCGTCATGTGGGACTTAAGCAGCGTGTGTTTAGTCCTCGAAACCGAAAGTACAAGTCTAGTACTACCGCCCTTGCGTGTGCAAACAGTTCTGTTGCATCATCAATTTCTAAAGCAGGGAACTCGTGTGTTAAGTCCATACATACACAAATATAATGTTTTTGCAACAGTGAACGAAACACGGAGCTAAAGCCGCTATGCCACGAAAGCTGAAAAATTGCTGATTCAGCGTTTCGAGAATTTTACTCGTTAATGTAATGTGAAGATGTATTTACATTGACAGATCACGCGGTGGTAAATAAAAACATTGAAATAGATATGGCTCGAGATGCAGTAATTCTATCCTCGATCTATTTGCTGTCTTAGTTCTGACCCAGGCTACCAGGTAGTGCATGTTCATTATGATACAGGATGACAGGTGCATACATTTCATGCAAGGGGTCGTGTGTGTTGTCGCTGTTGCTGCTTTACAGCCTGGTGATTGTATCCACTTTCCTTCCCGGCGCGACATGTTGATGAAACAAAGCGTGCCCATTGCAATCACATTTCATATTTCTACGCTCAACCCATGGGGATTTCTGTGATAACTGCCGGATCAATTTCGATGTAAACAACACCATTGCGGGTTTGACAGGAGACTCGAGTAGGCTGGACTGGGATCATTTCGACAAACAAGCTGTGGAATTTTGACAGATAATCAGTGGAAACCTTGGTCATAAAACGCTGGACAGCTTTGGAATCGATAAGGATGCGGAAAAATACCTGATCAATAACAATTAAGAAACCAACGGCAATTCTAGGCCAAGGTATGCACACAAGGGGTTGCTGTCGGATATACTGAAATATTAAATCTGCTACCAATGTGTCACTGTCCTATGCAATAACTGAAGCAAGAATTAATGTCAAACCATAGCCACGGGTTCTAGTTCTCTCTGAGATCACACGCGTACACACACCAGTAATACACACAGTGAGATAGTGTGTGAAGAGGGAGTAAAGCTATCGGGCCATTGCACGGTACATTTACAAGGTATAGCAGTACAAGGCAGATTGACGGCTTGACCTTGTGTGTGGAGGGGGAGAAGAGCTGTTGGGCCCTTGAACGGTACATTTACAAGGTATTACAGTATTAGACAGGTTGACGGTCTGAACTTGTGTGTGATGGGAGAGAAGAGCTGTTTGGCCCTTGGACGGTACATTTACAAGGTATTACAGTATTAGACAGGTTGACGGTCTGAACTTGTGTGTGAAGGGGGAGAAGAGCTGTTGGGCCCTTGAACGGTACATTTACAAGGTACAACAGTATTAGACAGGTTGACGGTCTGAACTTGTGTGTGATGGGAGAGTCGAACTGTTGGGCCCTTGAACGGTACATTTACAAGGTATTACAGTATTAGACAGGTTGACGGTCTGAACTTGTGTGTGGAGGGGAGAAGAGCTGTTGGGCCCTTGAACGGTACATTTACAAGGTACAACAGTATTAGACAGGTTGACGGTCTGAACTTGTGTGTGATGTGAGAGAAGGGAGATTTACAAGAACTGGTATTGGGCCTTGAACTGTAGGTCCCTTGAACGAACAGTACATTTACAAAAGGTTTACAATTAGACAGGTTGACGGTCTGAACTTGTGTTAGACAGGTTGAGATGTTGGGTCTGAACGGTACATTTACAAGTGTGATAGACTGGGACGGAGAAGAGCTGTTGGGCCCTTGGACGGTACATTTACAAGGTACAACAGTATTAGACAGGTTGACGGTCTGAACTTGTGTGTGATGGGAGAGAAGAGCTGTTGGGCCCTTGGACGGTACACTTACAAGGTACAACGGTATTAGACAGATTGACGGCTTGAACTGGTGTGTGAAGGGAGAGAGGGGCTGTAGGTCCATTATACGGTACAATTACTAGGTATAACAGTACATGACATGTAGATGGCTTCAACTGGTGTGTGACGGTCAAGCTGAGGATTACACTAACAAATCAAGACGAAGATAAATAGTGTCGCTCACATTGTCTCAGCTTTGATACAAACAATTCATAGGCCCTCAACGGGTGCTCCAAATATTCCTACTGTCTCGGGGGCGGTATATGTAACACATGAGAAGTCAAGATATTCGCTGTACCATCCCACATCTTCACCTGGTCCCCGGTACAAGCCACGTGCCTCTTGCACATGTTTTCTAGTGACAGTGGATATACATTCGAGGCAAACCATGAATGGGAAATAAATAATTCAAAAGGAAACAATCCTGGCATCTGATATCAGATTATGCGTTACATTATTCCTCTGACAATGTCACACAATTCTGGTATTTCATTTGGTTTAATAACCATAGTTATTGCATGGACATATATTACACAACTTCGCTGTATGACTTGAGGTCACATCGATAGTGGTTACTCGCCTTCACCAGATGCAAACACTCTCAGTTACATACGGAATATATTGCTATGAATGTGACATTTGTCTAATAAAACAGAACGAAGGCTCCTGCGCGAACCTGATCAATACATCATTAATACAGTCCAAGAGACAGAAGTTGTTAGAATGTATTTATAGCTAGGCTAATCCAGCTGCTGTCAGTTTGGACGATTGGACATAGCACCTGTCAAAGACAATATACTCGGTGTGTGTAAAGATCCTCGCCGCGCGACTGTCTTCAGCCGAAAGCATTACAGTTAATATTCGGAAAGGAATCACGGAAATATACTGCTATTTTGTGGATATGAGATGCCATTTAATTGCTAGCACGTTGCAGTGAAATCTACAAGGGTTGTATATAGCATGTCAATGACTGACAAGCACGGTGTTGTCTATGACCGGCCTTTAATGACCCCTTGCGCGATCTTATGTCATTAGCCTGGGGCAGTGGTGCCTGTTCGAGACTAAAGTGTGTCATCGAGTCACAGACAAGCTACATGGAGGCTTGCATATGTGTATTTCACTTCATTGCTCTCAGCACCATGTTAATATCACACTAATAGTTTGTCAATTACACATCGATAGCTGTAGACAGGGATCTTTCATGCGAGAGGTTAATCATTAAGTGAACGAGCATGTGTAAGAGAAACCCATGGCATGAGTGAAACCGCTTCATTTTGACATCTCTTCACTTTATGCAAACTAAATAAAACCGTAAAAGTCATGAGTAAGCAAGTTTCTCGCTAGACACATAAGCGTATGAATGGAGTGTTTTTCAGTTACGATTGATGCATATTTAAGAAAACCAGATATGGACGATCAGCTGTCAATGAAGATAACAGTAAAGACGTGTAAAGAAACTGTAACATAATACGAAAGCGTTGACATGTGCTGACAGTAAATCATGTATATATCAGCGTATTAATTGCTTCGAGAGTCACTCATGTGCATTGCGGTTTGACAAGCCACATGTCGCTTGTCAGGCAACGATATAGCTTACCTCTGGTTTATGAAAGTCAAATGTCCACTCGGTATCCTTGACCAGCGCTTGGTATTCCTGATATTTGGGGAAGCCAGAGTTACTAGTGATGGTTCGCACTGCCTCGTCTTCCCTGCGTTCACAGCAGTGTAAGCCTCGGATTCAACGCCACTCACATATCCCGTTAATACGCGGCTTTTGCCCGTGTTATTTTAATAATCGATCTCTCTGTTTCGATAAGCCAATCGCATGTCCCGTTCGCCGTGACGTCAAATCTGTAAGGCTGATAGCAGCTCGAGTTAGCTACGTTAGAACAGGAATTATGTCACACCGATTGAGAAGGACCATTTTGGAGAGAAACAACAGGTTGCCTCATTCCGAACAATACGGCCGGCCTCAGCCAATCACAGAGCTTATGACGTAGCGACGCCGTATCTCCCCCTCCCACAAAATGTTTATCATAAGCTGCGCGTCGGTGTGAGCGCTGAGCTAAATCGAAACGGAATCACTCTCTAGCTTCATTCACACTACTTTGGCCGTTGGGACTTTTCAGACCGAGATTATACTGCGAAGGACGAGGAGAGTGGTGACACCACTCCCCCAGTCTCACCCCCTCCTGCCCACGCTGTCCAATCGATCGATACTGACTTATTCGATGAGTGATCTCCACGACAAGTGAATTCACCCCTTCCTCTTGTAGAGATGTAAAGTCTCCGTAACATAAAATAGTTGTGTTATTCGCGTCTACAAGCAAACAATCCGTACAGAAATAGCGCACTGCCGTCCACATTGTTAATTAGAGATATAAACACAATAACCCTGCAGCAACCTACGCTGGATTAGACTCAGTGAAATAATAATCTCTCGTCTAGAATAGACTGTCGCTTCATCTCGGATTGTGACTTTATTAAAATTTGAAATATAATAACATTAGGTTCCATGTCGCATCTATTTCTTACGTCCATTTCTCTAAAAGGCACACTGTACATGATCAACTCTATAATCCCAAATATTCATAAACACAGTGGGTGAAATCGGTTAAGGTAACTGAACTCAGATGTCACTCGTCCAATTTCTTTCAAAATTGATTTAGGCTTAGATTGCTAATACCTCCAGTAACAGTTATATATAACTGAATACCGTAAAACTCATAAAGGGAACTGGGTTTAATACCGTAAAACATACAAAGAGAATCGTGATGGACAAAGTAAAAACATAAAGAAAACAGGTGCATACCGTAAAACACCTAAAGAAAAGCTGGGTATCTACCTCAAAAAGAGAAGTGCCCAATGTAACGTTGTATCTAACGCAGTCAATCTTATCTCAGTGTTATAATACACTTTCATTAATGTTAAATCCAATTTAAAATATTCTTAATATGTTTTGCTACATATACCATGCGCCTGTCATGTACGTTACGGTTTCAATTAGGACACATTTCTGATATTACTCTATGAATCCACACATATGTGTGACACATACAGACGTACGCACACGCACGCACGCACACATACACACCATAACAATACGGAAATCAGAAGCCGATGTTACAGGGTGTATCCATTTCTCTCCAATCGATGTCAATTAGCGATTGACGAAGTGTGTGGAGTTCGGCCAGCAAGGCACAGTGTGATAGATGCTAGATGACAGGTAGATGCGTGAAACGAATGCAGCAGCTGGTGCAACAGGTGCTTGTCGATATTAACAAGATACACTGTCACTCATGTTACGGCCTAGATGCTATAGACGATAGATGGCGGATGACGGATTACGGATACTGTTAAACTTTTGAAACAAACATTTTGTGTGTTTATATTTAGTAGAACATGTGCTTGCTAAACGGTGTAGGTTGCATTGAGAGGGTAATTAATATATGTGAATGTATATTTTTCATGGTTACAATTTTAATTGGAGTTATTATTCCGATATTAGGGAGTTCGTTTCTTTTGTCATATATCAATATTTTACGTAATAGACAAACTCGTATACGTAGTATCTCCACAGTTACTGAAATAAGCAGCGCATCTAATTATCCGTTTATGACAACATTTACGGTAGAGTCTAAACTGTATTATACCAACTGGGTTTGATTCACAGCATGGGCATAATATGTGAAGTTCATTTCTGGTGCTGAAAGGGCGTTGTATCGAACTTACTCACTCACCCATTTATATAATGCACTATAATACAGGCATGATAACTAATGGGATTTTAAAAGCTTTCTCGATACTTTATGTCACTACTTTACGAGCACACTAAACCTGTGACTGTTTATTGTTACTCAATTGGCTTCGGTGTGATCGTGTTCCAGGGCTGTCCTTCAAACACAAAATACAGTGTATTAAAAGTCTTGAGTGTCGTACTGCGTGGCCCTTTACGGATATCACTTAAAGGGACTCTCAGTGTGTGCTAAAACCCAGTATGACCTGGTAATCTGTTCATATCGGGCGGTTTGCAACAAGGGCAAATATAATTTATGTACACTCGACCGTTTAACTCGGTGTTAAGATATATTCCAAACTGTTAACTATCGAAATTAATTTTGAGGTCACTGAGATGTTTATTTCATACTGACGTCATGCTCACATGGAATATTCTTTTTAAGTAAGGTACTCGCATGTACTGAAGTTAATGTGTACTTTCTAAACCTCTTTGGGTGGTGGAGTAAGTCGCCTGGTGGTTAAATCGTTCAATCGGCACGGATTAGATTCCCCACGTGGGTACAATGTGTGAAGCCCATTTGTGGTGTCCCCTGCCGTGATATTGTTGAAATATTGCCAAATGCGGCGTAAAACTAAACTCACTCACTCTAAATCTAGTAGTTCACATGGTTAGCAAGACGTAATTCTGACCTAGATGAAGATTATTTGAAAGTTTTCCTGTGAAGAGTGATCTGCGACGACACTTATATTAACATTCATATATGTTAGTTATCACAACTCAGGGATAAAAGGCAGTTCGTTACATCCGATTTTTCGCCACATTGACAGTAACGTTAGTTATGACAGTTCGCTGATGAAAAGCATTTCGTTACATCAGAAGTTTTGCCACAATGATAGTAACGTTAGTTTCCACACTTCGGGGATTAAAAGCAGTTCGGTACATCCGTTATTTCGCAACAGTAACAATACCGTTAGTTATCACAGCTCGGGCATTATAAGTAGTTCGTTACATCCGTTGCAAAGCCAGTAAATACGCGTCTTCCAGGACTTCATTACACCAGGTTTGGACTATTGGTAATTCGAACTGTGAATATTGCTACAACGATTCTTGGTATCGAATTTGACAATTTAGGCGGAAAGAGGACCATCAAATTAATGGATATCTGATGAATATATGAATACATCAGTAAAATGACAGTCTAGACAGACCTATTTGCTTCATTAATGGCTGAATTCGACCATTGAATAATCAAAATACCTCTCCTACCATCACCGAAGCGCCACGCCCTCTATCATCTATACATGTATCTGACAATATCCTTCAAATCTCGCCACAAACGTGTATTTATCGCAACACGTGGTGCGGCTATTTAACCAAGACCTTTGCTTTTCGCTAGCCTATTGTTTGAACTGATGGCTATCGACCGACAATAAATTAGAAGCGGTGTAACTGACGCGCACTGGTCGTCCTTTGGGATGGACACTGTCCAGTTGTGTCCAGTACTTGACATGCAACCCCCAGGGGCATGGGGGAGGGGTCAGGTTCGCGCAGCTGTAGTTAGATCCAGTACTGATTTAAAATACCTACATTTTCCTTTTAAAATACTCTCGTTTTAAAAACACGTGGTGCTACGGTAATTGTCCTTTAATGGAGTCTCTCCCGTTTAGTGTCCAAAAATGGTCACAACAACGGAACAATTACAAGCGAAGATTAATTATTGGAGTTTAGACAGCGAGCCGGTCAATAAATGGCGGAAGTTGCAGGTCCGCCCCCTCTCGGGCGGACGGGAAACTAAGGACGTCATGAGAAAACTCCATTTGGTTATCAAGTCATAGAGGTGTATGTAACAGACATGACAGCGAGCGTTCCCGCGTTGCCCTGCAAACCAAATGAAGATAATTCTAGTTGGCTAAGCGGCATTTGTCAATAGAGGGATAGTTATCTACCGAAGTCTCGTAATTTCACGACGTGGGTTAATGCTTCCGTTGTTTGACGTTACCACTAAGCATGGTCGTCAAATGACGCCAGCGCGAGGAAGCGATATGTAAATATTGATGTTCTTTCTTAATAAAGACACAGCAATTTACGCCTACACAAGCGTAGTTTGGACGTTAAACTGAATGTGCCGGTTCTTACAAGGGTGGGCGTATTTCTGTTACTTTATATTCTATTAGTTTGGTGTACCGGAATGATGTTGAAGGATAAAGCAAAATAGTTCTGTTTTCAAAAGGAAGGATGGGTGATGTTTTAAAGAATAAAAAACCTGGTGTTCAATAAAACATGTCCTATTACCAATGCCTCAGCCGATATAGGAAACAAATGACTGCACATTCATCGGTCGGTCGATTTAGTTGTCCGAACACACAAATGTGCTTCAATAAGCGTGGAATTGAATTAAAAACGCGTTCAATAGGCTTATTGGTTTACCCTAATGTATTAGGAGATGCACGTCTTCGCGCATAACAAAGTTACGACATGCCGCAAAGTGTCGATGTGTGTCTTTTGATATCTTAAAATCAGCACGGACAACACAATCATAGAAATATGAAAGTTCAATATGCTCTCTATAAAATGCTTTGGTTTTATTCTGGGCTCTACACAATTACGACATTCCGAAAAGCAGTTGTTATCGAGTTATTTTTTTCAATAGAAAGATTGAAACTTTCCCAGTGACTCCCGTTCGCTGCGGGGGTAATTCGGTCGAGGTGTCTCCGTCGCGGAGTGATACATCGATTCTGTAAATTATCTTACAAGAGCAGACCTGGTTTGAGAAACATCGAAATTGTCAACAATTGATTTGATGAGGCGGAGTTTAAAGCACGGAGAATTCTTTGGCGGCAAATTAGGCATAGTTGATTTGATTCCGACGTGCTTTTCAGGGACGGAGGATACTTGGAAAGATGATCAAGTGAGTTCATCAAAGGACCCTTCTGAGAAGGGCGACTAAATGGCAGTCGGCGTTCTCTCGCGGTGGCCATGATAGTGGAAACGACGTCGGGAGGGAGATGTCGTTAAGGGTGTCACCATAACCAGTACTGCTTGATAAATCACACAAGCATGGCGTTGTTGCTTGCATTGGTGTGTTGAAGCGCTACGTACCAGAAAATATATAATCAACACTTAAGAATACTGTTATTTACGGCGATTTAACAACGGAAAGTAATAGTTTTAAGGGATT